TCTATTGAAGGCTTTGAAACATTCTCGAAAATAAATCACGATGTATTACTGATGATAATATTCCAAAAAGGAAAGAAAAATACAAAGACAAACATATAATTAGGCAATTAAGGTACCTATTTAAATATGACGTTATTTTTATAAACATTAACTAACACAAAAGCATAAATTATGCGAAAAATTTACATTTCCTGTAACGTTACGTAAATTACCGGCGAATTCGGCCCTTGGGATGGGACGCTGTCGGTGTAACGCTGTGGTTTTATTAGGTTGAGCGGAGCGGGAGCGATTTCCCTTTTAATAAACATTGCCTCATACTAGTATTTTCTCAGGTGTCTGGGGTGCTTTTACGAACATACAATGGCACATGAAAGGACAATTTGTAAATTACACAAATAGTTATGCCGTGCGGGTATCGAATACCGCGATACGTTGCGCAACAATTACGGTTTTTTTCGAAAATGTCTTTATCTATTGGTACATTTGCTCACTACAGCCAATTATGCCATGGGCGCGTGTGCTTCTAATGCTTCAGGTGTATCTACGGCAAAAAGAAATCAATTATGTTTGATCTTGGATTCGAAAACGAGTGGTGTCCTCATTTGCTGAATAGTCGATAAAACCAGTATTATCAAAGACTTTACCCGGGATTGATGGCCAAGTACAATCATATTATACTTACTGTAGTCCTGCTCAGAGCAGGAGAAGGAACGGGATGGTTTTTAGTCAGTAAGAGTCTGATTCTCCCTCTCAACCCACTTAGTGCTCATTTAATAATAAAAAGTTCATCAACGACTTACTTAAGTAATTCATCATCATCTTTCTGCCCTTGTACCGTTTTATTTGGGGTCGGCGCAATATGTTTTTTTCTTCCATTCTGTCCTGTCACTCGTCACGCTATCGCTAACTCCTCTATCTTCCATATCACTTCTCACACAATCCATTCATATTTTCTTTGGTCTCCCTCTCCCTCTCCATCCATCCACATTTATACTCATGGCTTTAATTAATTAAGAAAACTAAAAAAAAATTGAATTATTTTTGATGCTAATGCTAATGTGTCCGCTTCCTTAGAACCCTATGGATCAATCACAAGATTCTTTGAGCTTAACTGATTCATTTGCCGCAAAACGAAAACCAACAGTGGCGGTACTATGTAGGTAATTTTCAATCCAGGATACGTGTTTTTTTGTGAGCAAAAATCATTACACTTCTTCTTTCCCCCAGGAAAAGGTGAGAGGGAGAGACAGACCCTTATTGACTAAAACTTCACCCGTTTCTTCTCCTGCTTACAGCTGGGACCACGGTACCTAAGGGACTAGGAGTCTCTTTAATTGCATTTCACCCGCAACCCCGACTGAACATCGGCCCTGTTGGACCCCATTTGTGGTGGTTAATTGGCTCTTCAAGGCGCGCGTTATGCTCGTGTCTGGTTCTAGTCGTCGCACAACCGTGCTTAAACATCTGCAAGACCAGAAGAGTTACAAATGACCTGCTATCTTTTGAAGGTTGTTAGTCATATGAGGATTTGGGAATTGGAGATTAGAGAATGGAAACGAAGAAAAGGAAAGGACTGCACGGTTTACGCGGGCTCGATTCTGAAGACTTTTGGTGTGATCCACAAATTGTTGTTTCGGGTCTGGCTTAGATGTGTATGTGAAATTGTATGTTTGTATACGCACCCACGACACAGGAGAAAATTCTAGAGTGGGGTAAATTTTTTTAAAAAGAAGAAGACCTGAGCTTAACCTTGCTCACACACACACACACGACGAAACCCAATGCATGCATTAGTTAAACCCGGAAAAATTTATAAGTACTTTTAACATTATTTCCATTTCTTCATACCCGGGTGTCGGCTTTAAACCAACAAGACGGATATAAGTCAGTAGAAATTAACGGTCGGATCCTAATTTCAAAGCGTTTCATCCTTGGGTTCATAACAAAATGTGAAAGGGTTAGGTAGATACCCTCATCACCGCATTGTTATTTTATAGATATGAACGTACCTAATTTTAATCCTGAAATATGTTAAATTCTTTTCAAAATCCCATCTCTTCTACGGATCGTTTTGTAAACGTAATCTTTTCCTCTACTGTTTAAGATACTTATAGCCATTTTGAATTAATTTATAATTCATTAAATTTTGGTAAATCGTGTTATTTCATTGTTGACACTTTCACATCAGATTATTCTACTAGTTTCATTATGAAGTCTCTTCATTCTATACTTCGAGAGTTAAGCAAAAACAGTGGTTAAAAACATTGACGTTAGCCAATGAATTTTAATTTTATTTTTTTTATTTATTTAATAAAAGGTGAAGCAACAGCTACATTATACAACTTACAGATTCACACGAATACTGCCAAAATCGTTAACAGCTAAGACCTAATTAAAATTGTAAATAAGTCAAAAGCAGTAGGCACACTGCAAGAAAATTATTTAAAGAAAAAAAAATGACGTGGAAAATATTTGAAAAAACATAAATTAGTTATTAAAAAATTCTCCACTTATCATGGTTCTAGCTTTTCTCAGGCTTGTACAAAAGATATCTACATCATGCTTGCTACTGATGTCGTTAAAGGTACGACAAGCTCGACACATAATGAGTTTTGCCTGTAGTTTTATTTGTATTTAACATTTAAGGGACACTAGAATTATGATTGCCGCTAATGTGAAGAAAAACACGGCCATTCGCCTAGTATGGGTTTAAGGAAGTGGAAGTGTGACTGCCACATTGAACTACCTGTCTCATACCTATATACAAGTTCACACTTTTTTGGGAGGGGGCCATATAATCTTATTTCTTACTAACTTAAAACCGCGCCGTTCCTTCTCCTGCTCGGACCAAAGCCGCGATTAATTATCGAACTTGTACTAGCAACCACGGCTGGTAGCTACATATGTTAGTAGTGTCTACACAATCTGAAAAGGCATATAAGTATATATGTATAACCGGAATAAAGTCCCATTAAAAATCGTTAGTATACATATAACCGGAATAAAGACACATTAAAATATCGAGCGATTTCCTTCTTATAAGGCCGCCAACGTAGCTGTGACTCTGCTGGTGCCCATGGGCAGCGCTTATCACTTACCGTCAGGTGGTCCGTCGCTTGCCTACTATTACATAAAAAAGTGAAATTCACCATATTTGTGGCAGAGCCAAGCTTCGGCACGCATGGGTTGGCTCGAAAGGAATGATACCACAGCCTCACAGAAAACCGGTGTGAGGTTACCGGAGACCCAATCTTTCGCCTCCCCCCCAATCCTTAAATATCCGAAACCTTTATCCATAAAAGGCCGGCTACGCACTTATAACTTCTTAGGTGTTGCGGGAGTCCTTGGGCGGCGCTGATTGCTTACCACCAGGTAAACCGTCTGCTTTACCTATACTTACCATAAAAAAACCTAGGGTAGATAGTTCAAGAATGCCGTTACACATTAAGTCAGCCGCTTTATATTAAACCAGCTTTTGTCCGCGACTCTGCGTGGAATAGTGACTTCCTGCAGGTTTTATGTATATATTATAAATAACTGTCATACCCATGTCCTTTCTCGAGTTACAAACTTTGTCTGTACCAAATTTCACAGAAATCGGTTCAGTAGTTTAGGCGTGAAGAAAAGACAGACAGACAGAGTTACTTTCGCATTTAATAATATTAGTATAGATGTTTGTAAAAAAAAACTGTAGAAAAATAAAATTAATAAAACACAGTAAGTACTTTGATATTAATATTAGAGTTTCAGAGACAAACGTAGTGAAACTGTAAACAAAAGCTTTCAGGGTTTAACAGACAGCTTTTTAATGCGTGAAAATTAAAATTTCTCAGAGCTTTGCAAAGCTGAGGAGGTGCTTTTAAGCTGCTTACTCGAGAGAGGATTATGTTGTAGTGTGAAAATATTTTTCAGCTGTTTCTAACTGAAATCAGATTCCTCCGTGAAAAGGAATTAGGAGATTGTTTTGTTTGATTGTTCTTTTGAGATATGATGCTGACATTTTAGTTGTTATCTATGTTATGGATTAGGTAGGCTAAGCTAATATGTAGGTTGTTTATTGTACGTATTTGCTTTTTATACTTGAATTAAGTATAAAAATCTATGACTTTCTATGAATTATTTTCCGGATTTGTGTGTATGACGTCGCGTATAAGGATGACAGAATCAATTGGACTAATGTTTTTTTTTTTATTTAAGAACCCCTCTCTAGGATTTTGTCTTGTGTCGTTGGTGTTTTTGTGAGCGAGCAAGCAAACAATATCACAAACACGTCACAACCAGACCTGGAACATTTTGTGGTTCACACGAAGTGAGGTTTCCCAGCCATCCACCATCAGTCGATTGCCCAGCCATCGCGTCAATTTCAAGCACGTATTTTTGAGATTTAGTAAGCTTCAGTGTTATTAAACATTAACAACATTGGCGTTTTAAGTTGAAACTAAGTTTAGCGTGAACTAGCTTCAGTTCATAGCGGTGATTTGGGATTTTCTAAGTATCTAATATCTCATCGTTTTGGTTAAACAAAATAAAACACAATAAACCCTAAAACTGTTTATTTCTACAAATATTTCGAGTACAATCGTTAATATCACAGACAATTAGATTTAACTTCACGCTAACTTACTATGGTGATTCGTATAAAAACATTTTAGGAATTTGGTCGTAACTAACAATATTTTAGCACAGCGCCATCTATTGGTAACAAAATGATTTACTTGTACTTGTGAAGTTACTTAAAAGTTTGAAGTGTTGTCGGTAGAGTGCCTTTTCTTAAGATGTCTTATACACAAGTATCATGCATTGAATTCATAAATAATAATATAAAAGGCAGAATTATTATATTAAACAATTGTGTGGCATTATATATATAATTCTGCGTAAAACAACGTCTTTTTCTTCGTCCAATATATTCTATTTGATATCGTATCTTTGTGGTAACTAAAAATTTCAACTACGCTGAAACGACACTCGAATAACAATCATGAAAACAGAACTCATTTTTATATCTTTTAATATATTTTTTTCTTCATACATTTTAGAGCTTACGAATAAATTAATAATAATACTTCCTTCAAACTAAACTTAGAACTATAACTCGGTTTTGATGCCACAAATTGAGTAGAACTCTTGTTCAGGCAATAAAAACTCTTTGGTGAGTTCTTTGAACGTATTAAAGCTGCAATGACTAGAACTACCACAGCCTTTAATCCTGAGGTACTGGGCAGAACTCTCGCCTGCTTTCGGAAGATACATTGGCTGGAAAGAAAAAAGTGGTTGGTTATTTTTGATGCACATATCACTTAATTAGTACGTGGAATGGAACGGATTTTTCTTTTAATTTTTGTAATGTATTTTGAAAAGGCAAGGGACTTTGAAATACTGGCCCTTGTATCAGTAAGTGCTTGCTCTTCTAGTCAAAACTTGAAACTAATACATCAAAATATCAAACTAAGTATATTCTTATGGAATGACTCGGCAAACGATCATACGGATTACCTGATGGTAAGCAATCGGTGCCGCTGTTGGACACCTTTCAACACCATAAGAGTTGAAAGTTGCAGTTTGCCTTTAAGGAGTTAGCAATTCGGAGAAAAAAAAAGAGTTAGGAATTGGTAATTGGGGTATTGGAGATTGGGTGAGTTGGAGATTAGAGAAATTGGAGATTGGGTGTGTTGGAGATTGAGTGTGTTGGAGATTGGGTGAGTTGGAGATTGGGGGAATTGATGGTTTGGGTTAAAGTAATATGAAAAACCTTACCAGAACACTGTAAGCCCCTGTACTCCTAGATCTGTAAAGCTCCAAGGCGAACACAGCTCCATATTCAGGGATGCTGTGGTCATTCTCCACCTTAGCGACTTCCATTAAGGCTCCAATGTTGAAATCGTGAGCAGAGAACAGCCGTAACCTCTGGGATACTTGCTTTCCCGCTATGAAGTTGTTTCCAGCTCTCACGAATTTGTCTAATAAAACACCTGTGGAAGAAAAAGCATATTTAATAAATGTTTTATAATACATCCTAATTTATTATTCTACACTAATATATGTAGTACTATAGAAAGATTTTGTTATTCGTAAGTTTGTAAGTAAGGGGTTAACTTTGGAACAGCTGGTCGGATTTCCAAAATTATTTCACTGATACATAGCTACAATGTTCCTGAGTGCTAGATGGTATGAATTATACTTTATTTGCGTATAAGAGCCGTGCTTCGGTACGAATGTGTCGGCTCGACCGGAGTGATACCACGGCCTCACAGAAATCCGGCTTGAAACAACTTCAGCGTTGTGTTTGAGTAAGGTTACCGTAGGCTCAATCCTTCCCGTTCTCCAATCCCTCCCCAATTCCTAAATCTCAGCAACTCACTCGTAACTACTTTGTTGCGGTGGCGTTGATTGCTTACCATCAGGCATCAGAATTTTAGTCGAGCAATCGCTTTTAACTTTCATACGCAAAACTATGGATTCGAATTTAACAATCATTTTTGTGTTGGTTCTCCATTTATCGAAGAACGCTATAGGCTATAAAACATCGCACTACGATCTGTAGAAGCCGAGCAGCGACTGAAACCGCGCGAGAGTAGCTCGAAAGAAAAATATACAAGTTACACTTTGAAAAAACTTACCACCCCCAATCTTTTTCATCTCATCCGTCCTAAAGTACAGTCTGTAAGCCAGTCTGCCAGCTTCACCCAACCTGCCCAGGATAGGCTTGGCCCACTCCGGAAGATGGAGACCTAGTCCAATCTGCAAGAAAACATTCGTATCAAGTTTTGAAATATAAAGGAATTTGGCCTTTATGTGTTTAGGTATACGGTACATTGTTCGTGCAGCTGAATAAATATGAGAATTACTATTGAAATGTATGTAATATTCTTACACGTGTTAAAAATACTGCGTATATACGATATAGATAAAAACGACTAAATAACAAAACTAATAAAACCATAATAATTGTAATAACGCATCGCTAATGGTAGGTAATAATTGTGACTGCACGGTTGGCGCGGTGACTGGGCAACTGGCTGCCGCGCAACCTGCCGCGGTTTCGATTCCCGCACGGAACAACTCTTTGTGTGATCCACAGATTGTTGTTCCGGGTCTGGGTGTGACTTGTATGTGATATTGTGTGTTTTTAAACGCACCCACGACACATGATAAAATCCTAGTGTGAGGCAACTTTTTTTTAAATTAATCCCCTGGCCAAGTTTAAATAAATATGTAATAATTATCGATAATTATTATTATCTTTTCAGAAACGAACCAAATTTAGGTAACTTACAGGGATTTCTGAATGACATCACTAAGTCACATGGTCACCAAATTAATTCTCGTATATTTTTTTGATGCCAAAGCAATAACAATTTAGGTACCGATATTTACCTTGGCAAGGGGGGGAGAGGGGCTGATATGACCATTTAATTTTCATTAGTTTATTAAATTCAGTGTAAAACAAAACACTGTCCGCTTATTATTCAATTATTACGGCTTATTCACGTGTCAAGGAACTCGACTTGGCTGCACAGTACTAAGTGACGCGCGTTCGCCGTGTCGTTCGTCGCGCACTGCTCCTATTGTAGGTTGAGCCCTAGCGTGACTTGAAACTAGTCGAGTTTTTTGTCAAAATATTACGTGAGTAAGTCGCAAAATATAATAATTAGTGTAGTGTTTTCTTTTAAAGTGTTATTAGGTATTAGTTATTATTTTATATTTGTATTATGTTTATTGAAAATTAAATAAGCATTACATATACCAGCTCCTAAATAAATATGTGGATAATAAAATATCTTTCGAAAGTTATAATACGAAGAATAAAAAGTACGCTAAAAATTAATAGATTCTTCAATTAATAACTTGACCCAGTAACGTCAAAACATCATAAAATACAAAACGAATTAAAAACAATACTCACAGTACTCCTAAAAAGATCGTAGAGGGTCTCAAACCAGAGAGGTCTGCCAGTAAAGTCTTCCCCAGTCTTGTTTTTGATGAGAGGAATGAGATCCATAAAGGGGAGGAATTCGTCCGACATGGAACTGTTTTGGGCCTCAGCCATCAGAGTCTTGAAGCGTTTGCAGTTCGAATAGTAACGGAGCTGGAAGATGAAGAAACATTTTAGTAAGATAAAAGTGTATTAAGATGAGTAGAATACATTTTGGTATCCCTGCTCTGCCCGTCATCTCTCTTCTCATTGTGTTATTATGCTCGTGGTCCCCCGGAGGTTAAGCCTTCTCATACATGAGAGGTTCGACCCATGGCATGTACCAGCGTGACTTTTTCCCAGTCATATGTACTTTCTATGATTATTTAGACACCACTGACATACGATGAAGGAAAACATCGCGAGGAAACCTGGACTTATAATTTCTAATTGTTAGTTTGAGATCGCCAACCCTCCTCCGTGTGAGGAGACGCCGTTTTTCAGTAGTGGGCACTTATAGGTTGATGATGCGATGAAGGGTGGGTGGTAGGGTCACCGTAAGAGAATTGGCCATAGATTGGGTAGATAACTCAGATTTTTTTGTTATGGGGGACATCATCAAATTATTTCTCCTGTCCAGGGTTGGGTGAGAAAGAGTGTCACAGTCTTACTGACTATGGGGTACTTTCCTAAGTAAAAAGAAAATTTAATCTTCGTCTCAATGCAGTATAATATTAAAAAATTAACTATACTTTTCTTCATTTATCAGTCGTAACATAAAAAAATTCTATTATTTTTAAGAAATAAGTAAGCTATTTCACACTAAAATACTATGATACTTACATAATTTGGAATTTCATATAAATTCTACAGAAAAGTATAGTTTTTGACATTTGAACAAAATGATTAAATTTGACTAGTTGGAAACTACCGCATTATGGATTTTTGAATTACTGACAAGCGAATCTTTGTGTTGAACAGACTATGTATCAAGGCAGGCTATTATAAAACTTCACGCTATGACCAATAGGACCCGAGCAGCGAGTTACACGGAATATCTAGTCTCTTGTACTCCAGGTACAACGTTAAATTAAATTCCACGTTAACTTTGAGTTAACTACGACCTTTGTGGTTCCTATAAATCTTAGTTAAACTAATTGGATCTAAGATTTTCTATTCTAGTAAAAGCGAAGAATACTTCTAACAGATATAAATAGATTGGTCGTATGTTTTTACAAGAGAAAATGTTTTTTTGCTTTAGACCATAATAATTCCAATCCAAACTAATATTATAAATGCGAAAGTAACTCTGTCTGTCTGTCTTTTCTTCACGCCTAAACTACTGAACCTATATGTGTGAAATTTGGTACAGGCATAGTTTGGGACTCGAGAAAGGACATAGGATAGTTTTTAAACCAAAAATCTACAGGAAGTTACTATTCCACGTGAACAAAGTCGCGGGCAAAAGCTAGTATTAAATAATATTGACTGCACGGTTGGCGCGGTAGCTGGCAAACTTACTGCCATGCAATGTATCATGGGCTCGATTCTCGCACGGACTAACTCTTTGTGTGATCCACAAATAGTTGTTCGGGGTCTGGGTGTCATGTGTATGTGAAATTTTGTTTGTAAACGCAACCACGACACAGGAGAAAGTCCTAGTGTGGTCTAGTGTAGCCTTAGAGTGAGCCATGTTTATTAAAAAAAAAAGATATGTTCATAATTATTAAACTGCTACATAAAAAAAAAATTTTGCAAATCCGTCCATAAACAACGGAGTTCTGAGGTAACAAACATAAAAAAAAAATAAAAAAAAAACATACAATCGAATTGAGAACCTCCTCCTTTTTTGAAGTCGGTTAAAAATGGGTTCAAATACAAAGACCCGAGAAATACAAATTGTCTGATTAAAATAGAATACGACTTCAATATTGATACATACATATACATATACCTACCTATGTATATGAAAAGTATGTACATAATGTTTTATATAACATAAAATACAAAGATAAAGTAATGTATATCGCATTTGTTATTACACAGTAGTTCAAGTTCATTATTACATAATAATAAATTACTAATGTAATAACCCTAATTATCGTCTTTAATTACGTGTTAAGTTTGAAATATAATTATTACAAGAGGAACTAGGAATGATTGATGAATGATGATTTTCTCCCGTGTCACGGTGCGTTTACAAACATACAATTTCACATACAAATGACACCATAATCTAAACAACAATTGGTGGACCACACAAAGAGTTGTTTTGTGCGGGAATCGAACCCGCGAAACGTTGCGCTACAGCCGGTTGTCCAGCCACTGTGCGCTAACAGTGCAGTCCTTTTTGATACTTAACGATACACAATAACATAATCGGTATTTGAGAATTGTGGATTGGGAGATAAGGGGATTTCGGGATGTTAGAATTGGAGATGGGGAGGAGGATCGGGCCTTAGATAACTACACTTAAGCGGTGAAACAACACAAGCGTTATGTCACGTCATCTTTAACTCCGGTCTAGTCAGCCGACGTGCTCATCCAGATTTAACTTTAATAGAGTAATACTCACATAATCTTCTGAAAGTGGAACTGCAGAATATGGCACAGGCTGCCACACCTTCCCAAGACCCTCGTCCCACTGCTGTTCGGGTTCCGGAGGGTAGGCAGCGGCCATAGCGACCTGGATAGTCATCTTGGTCCGTTCCTTTTCTGTACTCCTGATGGCTATTTCATCATGGTGGTAGATGTTTGAGATCAGCTTGTGACCTTGGGAACCATAGCGTTGGCGGTAGAACTTCCCTATTTGATAGGCTCTGCGTTTTCCCATCTGAAAGAAGATTTATAGGTATTCGTGTTAGAAGTACAGGTTGTTGACGGAGTCTTCTTAAGAATAAAGAACTGTTTTTTTTAATGTAGGTAAATAGGTCGGCAAACGAGGATACTAATTACCTGATGGTAAGCAATCAGCGCCGCTCATGGACACCCGCAACGACGGAGGAGTTACGAGTGCGTTGCCACCATTTTGGGCATTAGGGATTTGGTGATTTTGGGATTATGGGAGAGGAAGTATTGGGCCTCCGGTAACCTCACTCGCACGGCGAAACACAACGCTGTGGTTGTTTCACGCCGGTTTTCTGTGAAGCTGTGGTATCACTCCAGTCGAGCCGACCCATTCGTGCCGAAGCGAAGCATGGCTTTGCCACTCTTAAACGTGTTATTTTCGTTTTACACACACACATCATCGCATTTTCCCTCATTTAACATAGAATAAGTACTTATGAGATTATAACGTCTTAGTGGCTCGGAGATTAAGGTTCGAAACCTGGCAAGTACCAACGTGACTTTTTCCGAGTTATATGTATGTACTTTTTTATGATAATTTATTCATCATCAGCCTTTAAGTGTCCACTGCTGAGTAAAGGCCTCTTCTCACACGGAAATGGTTTGAGCATTACCAACCACGCATGCTCAAAGCGGGTTGGCGATTACAATCTTATAATTAGAAATTAAAACCAGGTCGTCACGATGTTCTCCCTCACCGTATGTATGTTAGTGGTGTCTAAACAATCTTAGAAAATAGAAAGTACATAGGTATAACTCGGAAAAAGTCACATTGGTATTTGCCAGAACAGGGCTTCCTCCTCATGCATGAAAAGTGGGCTTCTTACGTACGGCGCGTAGCGTTCCGCGTGCGTCTCAACGAGCCAATAGACCACCACAGACGGGGTCCTAAAGGGCTGATGTTCAGCCGGGGTTGCGGGGTAAGCGCAATGAGGCACCGCGACCTCGGCCCAGAGCAGGAGAAGGAACAGGGGGGTTTTTAGTCAGTAATAGACTGACACTCCCTCCTGCCCGGCCCTGGGCGGGAGAAGTCATTTGATGATTTTTCCCTTACAAAAAAAAACCTTTACCTTAACCACTAAGAGCATCAACGAAGCAATAATTATCATTGTAATTCTTATCATTATTTACAAATTTCGTGAGACAACGACATCGCAATTATATAAGATAAAAACGTGATTTTTTCACAACATATATGTACTTACGTCAAATTGGTCAGTTAGGTACAACGTTTTATAAGAGATTTGTGTTATGTTGTATGTTTTACAACGCATTTTGTAGGCGAAATGACATCTATGATTTGCGCGTCCATTTCATCATTGCTGATTAAGAATGGAGAACTACGCGTGATTATTATAAGTCACTGATCATTCTAATTGTGGAAGAGCCATGCTTCGGCACGAATGGGTCTGCTCTACCAGAGTGATACCACGGTCTCACAGAAAACCAGCGTGAAACAACCACAGCGTTGTGTTTCGCAGTGTGATTGAGGTTACTCTCCTCAATCATAAATCTCTAAAACTATTATCTCCCAAAAGGACGGCAATGTACTTGTAAATCCTCTGTTGTTGCGGGTGTCCATGGGCGGCGCTGACAGCTTACCATCAGGTAATCCATAGGCAAGTTTGCCATCCAATCACATAAAAAAAAAACTAGCTTTTAATGATGTTAAGCAACATGTAATAAGAGACTTTTCAAAATTTCATAAGTTCATTCTTTTGACATAGCATTCACAGTTTAATGGAGGTATATTCTAGTTAGTATTTTTAAAAATTGAATAGAATTAATGACTTACATTAGTTAAGCCCTCTGGTCCTTCAATGTACGTCAAATTGAGGATCAACTCCTGCTGGTCGGAGAGAGACAACTCGTCAGCATCGGGTGATCGCTCGCCATGTCTGTTCAACTGCAAATAAAAGAAAACAATGTGTTCTTGTTAATGAAAAACTAACAGTCGCACTCAGATTCATTTAATGGTTATCTTAACTTAGTTTATAGTATTTTGTTGGCGGTATACAATACAAAAAGTACTAAGTAAGTGGAAGGATCGGCGGCGGCGACCTCTCGCGCCCGGCCTTAGTCGAGGCCATGGTGCGGAGTGAGAGGAACTGGGACGCCGTCTCCTCCTTTTGTGAAGCAGTCATGCTCGCAAAGAGAGAGGCGGCCCGCGTGAGGGAGCAATCCTCCTCCTCACGCCCCAGCAGCCGCAACTGGCGACACTACGGGCGTCGGGGATCGAGGGACGATCTCCGGCCACCGTAAGTACGGGCCTGCGGTCGGCGAGTAAGGGCAGCTCGCCGCCCGACCAGAACCAGGCCCGAGCGTACGGCGCGTAGCGTTCCGCGCGCGCCTCAAAGAGCCATTCGACCACCACAGACGGGGCCCTAAAGGGCTGATGTTCAGCCGGGGTTGCGGGGTAAGCGCAATGAGGTACCGCGACCTCGGCACAGAGCAGGAGAAGGAGCAGGGGGGTTTTTAGTCAGTAAGAGTCTGACACTCCCTCCCGCCCGACCCTGGGCGGGAGAAGTCATTTAATGATTTTCCCCTCACAAAAAAAAAGTACTAAGTAAAAGATAAAGATACTGTTATTTTCCAAATAGTTCCATTATAAATAAGTATGAAAACAAAACAAAAGAAATTATAATAGGTACACTCGATTCTTATATGTTCGCGCGGTTTTCCGCTTATCTCGATAAGTAAATGGATTACCCAACACAAAAATAATTATCCAATTTCAACCAGCAGTTCCGGAGATTAGCGCGTTCAAACGAAGAAACAAAGAAACTCTTTAGATTTATCATATTATTTAGTAGTTATATACAGTTATGAATTCAATTCAAAGCAAAGTAAATGTATTCATTATCATGTTTCCATAAAAAACTGAATTTAAGTACATTGGGACAGATAAGAAGCTGTGAGCAAAGTAAATAAGGTCTATATTTGCAGAGCACGCCATTTTTTTCGATTACACGTTAATTCCTAACAACATAGTGTATGAATGTAATGTAGTAAATAATGTTTGAGTGTTGAACAATACTTGTTTAAAACTAAACATTGGTAAATAAGTGATTAAGCAACGCTTGTCCTGGTTTGCTTTATAAAATGTTGACATCTCGTGTTTCCTTCAAGACTCGGAGATCAGACGAATTAAGGAAAACATATTTGAGAAAACAAAGGAAGGATGTTCACAATGACAATGATGCGATGTTCCGATCCGATTTTTTTTTTGTGAGGGGATAATCATCAAGTGGCTTGTTCTTGAGGGAGCGTCAGACTCTTACTGACTAAAAACGCCCCCGTTCCTTCTCCTGCTATGGGCCGAGGTTGAACATCAGTTCTATAGGGCCCCGTCTGTAGTGGTCTATTGGCTCTTTGAGGCGCGCACGGAACGCTACGCGCCGTACGCTCGGGCGTGGTTCTGGTCGGGCGGCGAGCTACCCTTACTCGCCGTCCGCAGACCCGCGCTTACGGTGGCCGGAGATCATCTTTCGATCCCTGACGCCCGGAATGTCGCCTACTTTGATCGTGGTGGCTCGAAGGGTAGCTCGCCGCCCGACCAGAACTAGATCTGAGCGATAGCGCGTGGAGTTGCCGCGTGCGCCTCAAAGAGGATAATAGGCCTATAGGATTAATGTTCAGCCGGGGTTGTGGGGTAAGCGTAATGAGTCACCGCGGCCTCGGCCCAGAGCAGGAGAAGGAACGGGGGGGTTTTTAGTCAGTAGGAGTCTGACACTTTCTCTCGCCTTACCCTGGGCGGGAGAAGTCATTTGATGATTTTCCCCTGGCAAAACAAATAATAATAAAAAGGCCCCTTCTCACACGGAGCAATAACCACGCCTGCTCAAGGCAGATTGGCGATTTGAAACTCATAATTAGTTCCAGGTTTCCTCACGATATTTTCCTTTACCGTATGTCCGACCGATTATAAACAAAGGGAAAGATATTTTTATTGTAAATTGTAAACGTGTATACATACATATGTATATGCGTAATTAAATTATATCATCTTTGACAAATTATCTTTAAGGGTCATTTGGATGTTCATTATGATAGTCATACTTGTTATTGTATTGTGAAAATAAACTCTTACTTAAAAGATTATTATAATATTATAATTAGGTATCTACATTCATGTATATTAATTTAATTGACGTTTTCAACTAATGAGTTATTGTTTGAACTCTTTGATTGAGACACCTATTCTGTCTTCAATTGATACGATTGAAATGTTAATAAAATGGCATCTAGTACAATTCTGATAGTTATTTTTTCTTATAGATTCGATTTTGATGACGGTCTAACCTAACTATACTCTTTTTTTGAGTGCAACTGCCGAATGACTTCTCTATCACCTTTTGTGGGTCGACAGCAAAGAGGATATAACCACGACTACCACCAGTGGTTATATCGTGGTTGGTCAAGAGGGAGTGTCAGACTCTTACTGACTAAAAGCCATTCCGTAGCTTCTCTATCTCCATATTGGGGCACATTATTACGCTTATACCCAGGTAGAGATCTACCCTAACCTTCCAATCTTGTGAAAACTAGATGTTAATTACAATCAGTTTTTAATGAGTTCAGTCATTCAATGAAACGGCTGCTTACGGACGTTAGTTGAATGGCTAAATAGGTTAGCTAGTTGTGACATCTATATTATCTCATGTGGGTTTGTCCAGCTGTTACGATATTAAACTGGTTTTAACTGGTTTGTATGTGACGTCACTAATGGTTGATTCATTCAGTGATATTGAGGTTATGGGTCAGATCTTAGGTATAGGTAACTCATTAGTGTGATTAAGGGCTAAACTAGAGATAAACTTATGTGAGACATAGTTCATACAAATCATTTATTTATATATACAGGGTTACTAACGCGACGTATTCCTTGCAGGACATCATAGTAGGGTTAAAATGTAACAAATGAAGCCACCAAATGTTCTACTGAAGTTCAATAGTTTTTGAGTTAGTAAGGGGTTTAGAGTAAAAATCCAGATTAAATTATTTGAAGCCAATTCGAAAATTATTCACGGGGCGACTGTACTGAAATTGAAGTTGTTATCATAGTTGACGTCATAGCGGATCCTTATCCTTTTTAATAATTAAAAGTTCAAAATGACTAAAACTGTGTACACCTGGTGTAGTCGTTTTTTTATGATAAGACCACACTTTTTATGATGTAATAGCAAAAATAAGAAAAAAAAAATTGATTAGTGATCTTCACTAAAGTGTAAGTCATTTAAAACAATAATTAATCAAAACCACAGATCAAAACGATCCGCTATGGCGTCAACCGAAGCGTGGCTCTCCCACAGTTAAAAACGTAAGATTTATAAATTTGAATTACTGATATTATAAAGAGGTTAAATTTGTCAGTTTCTGTGTATGGGGTAATCTTTGGAACCGCTGGTCGGATTGCCAAAATTCTTTCACTGATGCTACAATATATAAAATATCACGCTACGATCAAATAGAGCCGAGCAGCGGAAACCGCGCAACAGTAGCTAGTACTTACAACCAAAGCGAACACGAGTTCCTGGTCTTCAATAACTTCGTTCGTGACAGAGTTTCCACAGGAAACACTGGACAGCGCCACCAAGTACGACAGGACCAGATAACGGAGCATTTTCCTGTAACAAACAAAAAAACAACTATTTTTAATAAAAGGATAGATAGAAAGAAAAATAATTTATCTGGCACACAAAGCACCAAATATCTCATCATCATCAGCCTATAAGTGCCCACTGCTGAGCAAAGGCCTTTTCTCATACGGAGAATAATAGAACATTAATCACCACGCTTGCTCAATGCGGGTTGGAGATTTCATTTCGTAAATTTAACTGAGAAAAAGTCACATGCCTGAGAGGCGGGCGCCTTAATCTCCAGGTCACCACGATCCTAACGTGATATGTTTACGCGTAGATCAACCCGGATAGAAAATCCCAAAGCGTCTTAGATTTTCCAATGAGATCCGTTGGAAAATTTATTATTGGAATAATTCAATTGAAAATAAATAATTTGAACTTTCATATGTTTATAATAAGAGATAGAAAGAGGTTAGGTTTTTCAAGGAATGAGTCAGTTAGGTTCAACACAGTAAACTTAAACAATCATATATGGATTTTTTAGCAGTATGCAGATCTCAGCTCTGTCCACCGTAAGCGCGGGTTTGCGTACTGCGAGTACGGGCAGCTCGCCGCCCGACCAGAACCAGGCCCGAGCGTATGGCGCGTAGCGTTCCGCGCGCGCCTCAAAGACTCAATAGACCACCACAGACGGGCCCTATAGGGCTGATGTTCAGCCGCGGTTGCGAGGTAAGCGCAATGAAGCACCGCGACCTCGGCCCAGAGCAGGAGAAGGAACAGGGGGGTTTTTAATCAGTAAGAGTCTGATACTCCCTCCCGCTCGGCCCTGGGCGGGAAAAACCATTTGATCATTTTCCCCTCACAAAAAAAGCTCTGTCGAAAATAAATAAGCCAAATCTAGTCTAAACTTGCAATAGTTTAGTTGGAAGAAAACCGCGTCAATATATTTTCGCACTACGATCTCCGGTCACCACAAGCGCGCTTAAAGAGCCAACGGAATATAAATTTGGCACAATAGGGCTGATGTTCAGCCAGGGTTGCGGGTCTAGCGCAATAATCTACCGCGGCTAGAACAGGAGAAGGAACGTGTTGGTTTTCAGTCAGTGAGAGTCTGACACTCCTTCTCGCCACACTTAGGACCAGAAGTCATTTGAGGATTTTTCACCCTAAACAAATGTTATTGTTATTATTATTGCCTGTAGTACCTTATCCACCATTTTTTATGTGGTAGGTCGGTAAACGAGCAAATGGATTACCTGATGGTATGCAATCAGGCAGCGCCGCTCATGGGACAACGAGTGCGTTGCCGACCTTTTGGGGAATAGGGATTCGGAGATTTTGCAATTGGGAGAGGGTAAAGGTTAGGCATTCGGTAACATCACACACAGACACAATGCTCTGGTTCACGCCGGTTTAAACCATACTGGTTCGTAGTTATTATCTTTGGCGGAAATAAGCAAAATATTTAGTCAAAACACGTACCAGATCCAGCTTATCAACTTTATATCAATATTGAAGTCAAGTTTCTTTTTTTTATTTTAATTCGTTTATATTTAACAGTGAGATAACTTTATCTATATATTATGTTTCGGTTTAACACGTGGCTTTTCGGCTTGGTACACGTGCGCGTCCAACCATTTTTATCATTTACATCATAATAACTTTTAATATTGTTCTGCTGACTTTTGTTCGGAATGAGGCAGAGAATTCCCCATTTAGGCCTTTTAGCAGTGTTGATGGGATGGGAGAGTTGTTAAGAAGACCAAAAAAGTCATGGTAAGCAATCGATACTAGCCACATCAGAGAAGTAAAAAGTTGGCAGGTCAAAAAAAAAAGTCAAAAAAGTCAAAAATCATTTATTCCAATTAGACCTTTACAGGCACTTTTGAACGTCAAACAAAATTTAAAATAAAAAATAGTGTCAGTCTGTCGGTCAGTCCTCTTAGTGAAGCTATTTGCTCGTTCCAAAGTGTAGATTCCGATGGAGAAGAACGAGCAAGAAACTCCATGGTTACTCTTTTTAAATCAGTTTCACATACAGATTCCTTTTACAAACAGTTGGTTCAATTATGTGAGAACAGTGTAACACTAATATTTATTCAAATATAAAAATTAAGTAACCTTAAGGACAATAGACAGTCTGGAGCTGACCAGTCCCAACTGACGGCGCTCGTTCACGAGCATGACACGTACACCAGCATCGCCCAACTCAACCATATTATAGGGAATTAAGCGATCCAGTGCCCATGCCACCGCCAGTGTGACCTTTCAGTGAGCATGACAACTCCAAGCTGTTATAAGGACCGACATTCTGCTAGTCTAACCAATTATAATAGGTTACAGGGCACTCACATTTACAAATTTATCAAGTTATAGTTATACAATATAATGCAATTTCACTAAAATGAAGAAGTCCCGTTCAAGCAAAATCCATTGGAACGTTATTTATTTTGGTGTACGTTTGCTATCCTGTGGAGCAGGACCAGCATGTCTCCAAGCATCTTTATCTACAATGTAATCATTCAGTGTGTAGTATGCTTTTCTACATAAAGTTTTCTTTACACATAATTTAAAATTTCTTTCATTTAATTGTTGTATTTCGCCTGGGATTTTGTTATAACATTTAACACAGAATCCCATGAACGACTTATGTACCTTTGCCAATCTAAATAATGGCTGACATAATCTATCTCTATGTCTAGTTTGATAATTATGTCTATCTGACACCTTATCGAATATTTTTAAGTTTTTCCTAACATACATAATGTTTTCATAAATAAACTGACATGGCACGGTCATAATATTGATCTCTCTAAACTTTTCTCTAAGAGACTCACGACGCTTTAGATTGTAAATAGCTCTGATGGCACGCTTTTGCAAGACAAAGATAGACTCAATGTCAGCAGCCTGTCCCCACAACAAGATGCCATACGACATAATGCTATGAAAGTAGCTGAAGTACACCAGTCTTGCAATGTCCACATCTGTTAGCTGTCGGATCTTCCAGACAGCAAATGCTGCAGAGCTCAACCGTCCTGCCAGAGATGTGATATGGGGCCCCCATTGTAGTTTGTCATCTATGGTTATACCCAGAAAAGTAGTTTGTTTTACAAATTCCAATTTATTACCGTTTAATAATATGTCACATTCGTTACTTTTAACATTTGGCAAACTGAATCGTATACATTTAGTCTTTTTGTCGTTTAGGACTAAATTATTAATTGTAAACCAATTATGAACCTTCGTTATAGCATTATTTACGTCGTCATAATTATCTGTCCGTCTATTTATTTTAAAAATCAACGATGTGTCATCAGCATATAATACCATTCCCGGTTCACGTTGAAATAAATGAGGTAAATCATTTATGTACACTAAAAACAGGAAAGGACCTAATATTGAGCCCTGTGGTACGCCCATAGATATGCTAGTACCCTGGGAGTTCACTTTATTTACTTGTACTTTGAACTGCCTATCCTGCAGGTATGATTTTAATAAATTGAGAGATACCCCTCGAATGCCATAGTGTTCCAACTTCAGCAACAGTGTCGTGTGTTCAACGCAATCAAAAGCTTTAGACAGGTCACAAAAAATCCCAATAGCGTCGTTTGACTTTTCCCATGAGGCAAAAACATGCTTAAGTAGAGCTACACCGGCGTCAGTTGTGCATCGACCCTTGGTAAACCCATATTGTTGGTCATGAAAGATGGAATTTATGTTAAAGTGTCGTAGCATCTGAGAGAGCATTAGCTTTTCAAACACTTTACTAAGCACTGGTAAAATTGATACCGGCCTATAATTATTGGGATCATTGTCATCGCCAGATTTAAACAACGGGACTACCTTGCTAAGTTTCATCAAATTTGGAAAAACACCCTGATCTACACTTTTATTAAAAATTACAGCTAAGTAAGGCGCTATAGCTTCTATAAAAGACCTACACACCACAACAGACATTCCCCATAGATCCTCTGTAGACTTAACTTTTATGTCTTTAAACGCCTTTATTACTGATTGCGGGTCCGTGTACTGAAATCGGAAGCCAGAACGGCATTCTTTAACATTTCTTTTAAGAAGACTAATAGAAAGTGCCGGCGATGATTCTAAGTCTTTCGTAGTTTTAATGGGGATATTCTTGAAAAAAAATTCGAATTCTTGGGCAACTTCTTGATTAGCATTAACTCGTCCATTATCCGTATTTAAATTAAATTCCGTGTTATGCAATTTATTTCTGCCTGTCTCGTTATTAATTACCTTCCACGTAGCTTTTGTTTTATTTTCAGCATTTTTAATCTTATTGCCAATATAAAGTGATTTAGCTTGCTTACAGACTGTTTTAAATATTTTTGCATATTTGGACACATGCTTGCTGAAGGCTTCACTAGTATCAAATGGTTTCATACCATATAGCTCAAATAACCTTTCCCTACTTCTACGAATACCTGGGGTAGCCCAGTCACAGAATACAAATTTACACTCAATAGTTTTTCTTTTTAAGGGGAATATTTTATCAAACTGGGTTTTAATCACGGACAGTAGATTGTCATAAATCTCACTTGGACCTTCATAATCATGTGATGGGCTGCATAATTTATGTTTCAAATTGTTATTTAATAACTCAACCCTTTTATTTGTGATTTGCCTAAACATTATTTCCTTTTTTGGCACCTTTGTGATGTTGTTAAGGTTCATTGTTAACCCACTGTGGTCTGATGGTAAGGTATTTATTATATCCTTATGTAAATAATTACAGTTACAAAATATATTATCTATGCATGTAGCCGAGGTGGATGTTACTCGGGTGGGCTCAAGGAAAACATTAGACAAATCAAAAGATTTAAAAAGACTTACCAAATTAACACAATTAGAATTGTTTTCTAAGAGATCAATATTAAAATCGCCACATACTATTGTGAATTTACTGTTTGAACACGCTTTCTGCAAAACTTGTTCCATGACTGAGTTAAAAATGTTTAAGTTCTGTAAGTTAGGAGGTCTATAAACGCATATTACAACATGCCTATCCAGCTCCACACAGGACAATT